TTATCAGGTTTTATGAGGAGCTGAACAGGAAGCCGTGGACGTCGAACGCGTCTTTTCCGCGTACGAAACTCACTGAAACACAGCGTCTGAGCCCGGAGCGTTTAGTCCGGCATCATCAGGATCAGAGGCGGCGCAGCGCTTCACTCGTGATCAAACACACAAACCACACGATGCGTCTCATTAAAGTCTAGTCGACGGCCTCCGGAGGAGTCAAGTGTTTGTTTCCAGTCCAAGCGGCCGGCAGTTGACTTATGACTTATCCAACATGCACACACACATGTTGTCATTCTGATTCTACAAATCCACAGAGGCGCATCGTACAGGCGGTCGAGGACCCGCAAGTTGTTTGCAGATGTGTTGCTCGTAGCGTCATGATGTCGTTAACAGATTTTTATCATTTCCAAAAGATGACGGTGCAGTTTCAGTTTATCACGTCTCCAAAGAGAACGCTGAAACACAAGAAGTTCATCCAAATCTCCAGGAGGCTTCTGCTCGACTATTTCTGATTTGTTGGAAACTTTATTTATTTTTAAATCGTACATTATGAATATCTAAAATTGTATCTGTGAAATTTTACGTCGATGTGACAAGCAGCACGTTCAAATCTGAGTCGCGGTATCTCAGGGACTGTCAGTGATTTTCACAGTTACTTCTCATCACGGCGTTAATTCAGCGTCCGTCATGTTTGACAAATAGATCAGATCGTCTGCGATTGTGGTTGAGTCGAATAATTTTAAAAAAGTAAACCTTTGTGAAGACATACACAGACATTGCAAAAGTCAAGCGCTCAAAAGTCAGGATATTTGTTTGTTCTTATATGTAGAGAACTATTTTGAAACTCCAGAACTCTGTCAGTATTTTTGTTTTTCTCAAACCTGCTCAATCCGTTGTGAAATTTCAATGAGCATAGCTTCCTGTTTGTTTTATTCCATATTCAACAGGATTCTACATGTTTAGTTTTGTCTTATTGTGACATGCGGCTACATGTGGTTCAGAAAATATCACGAGTTGACTTCTGTGTGATAGTTTTTTATTTTGTAAAGAGGACAGGACTTCAAACTTTATTCATACTTCAGCTCACCCATCATCTGGGATTATTTCATCTAATATCTACGTATTGATCTACATTATTGCAGTGGATCTCAGAAAGCATTTAGCATACCAAGCTACAACTTCACAAATGTGTTTCTAAATATCCGTGTTTTAATTTTCTGGCAAATCAGAGACGGTTGAGCAGAAAGTTGGTTGATGAATTGCGATGGGATGTATGAGTTTGTCCTGATAATGCTGACAGACGTCGCAGGATATGTAAATTCTTCCAACAAAATTGGCATCAGAGCAGCTGTGCAAACTTAAAATTTAAACTAATAAGCCACATCATTAAAACCACCTAATGCCGTGTACGTCCTCCTCATGCTGCCTGAACAGCGTCCAGGAATCAGGCTGAGATCTAAGGAGTCAACATTTTGGGCTCTTGGTCGTGTTCCTCGAGTTTTAAGGTGCATTTATGGCCATGTTTCAGTGGGTGGTGCGTGACAAGATGCCAGTGAAGTCGGTCACTTGACACGTTCCTGCTTTTAATGTTGTGGCTCAGTGCAGATAAATTCTCAGAAAATGTCGCCACACCGATTAGAAGTTCAGGTGATGTACAGTGGCCTCTTGGTGAGTGATTAATGGCCACGATACTGGACACTGGACTAACAGACGGAGGAAGAAGTCACCTTTTACGCAGAGTCCTCGGCCCTGCCTGTCAGCAAACATTCACGCTGTTTCCACGTCCTTCATCCAGGTCCTGGTTCCTGATCGGCTGCGTGACTGCAGAGTGTTTCCTTCGACCTCAGTGGCTTCCTGGTTTTCTTCAAACAAGGTTGAAAGAACTTCTAGTGCTCTGAAAACTGATGAAAGCTTCTTGTTCCTCGCTCAGGTTTCAGGAAAAGGGGAATCTCGAGGTCCTCCTCTTCACCATCCAAAGCAAACTCAGAGCCAATAACCAGAAACCCTATGTGCCTCATGACGGGAAGCTCATCTCAGACATTAACAAGGTCTGTGTGGCTCTCCTTCTGCAGTGTTTTAATCTTGTATTTAAGTTGTCTGTGAAGAGTCTCAGTCCTCCAGGTCACCGTTATTCTCGTAGTTTAATCGTAGCAACTGGACTTAAGGCTTGAGTTCCTTGAAGACGTTCCACCTCTCATCCAAGAGGCTTCATCACTTCTGACTGACTGGTTGGGAGTTCCACATACTGATATCCTAAAGGGGTTATTAACTCCCAACCAGTCAGTCAGAACTGATGAAGCCTTTTGGATGAGAGGTGAAACGTCTTCAAGGAACTCAAGCAAGTCCAGCTGCTACGATTAAACTACGAGAATTTTGTTTATAAGCTGCATTGTTGCTGTTAAACTTCTTTTTTGTTGCTGCGTAGGCCTGGGAGAGGCTGGAGAAGGCGGAGCATGAGAGGGGCGTGGCTCTGCGGAAGGAGCTGATTCGTCAGGAGAAGCTCGAGCTGTTGGCTCAGCGCTTCGACCACAAAACCACCATGAGGCAAGCCTGGCTCAACGAGAATCAAAGACTCGTATCGCAGGTAGGGATATCGGAGGGACAAATGTTCGACTGTGTACTTCAGCTCATCTAACTTCATGCAGTCACAATATATACATACTTCATCTTTGACTGCTTGGAATCAATGTTTGGGTTTTTCTGGTTTCAGTTCCTTTTAAATCTTGCTAAAATGTTTATGTAAACTAAAATGTATGAAAATCGGTTACCGTCTTTCTCCCTACAGGACAATTTCGGCTACGACCTACCAGCGGTCGAGGCAGCGATGAAGAAGCACGAGGCCATCGAGGCGGACATCGCCTCCTACGAAGAGCGGATCGGCGTGGTTGTGGAGCTCGCGGCGGAGATGGAGGCGGAAGGATACTACGACATCCGACGCATCTCAGCGCGCAAGGAGAACATTCTGGGCCAGTGGAGTCTGCTGAAGGAGCTGGTGGCCGGGAGGAGGACTCGGCTGGAGAAGAACCTGTGTCTGCAGAAGACTTTCCAGGACATGGTGTACATGATCGACTGGATGGAGGACACACAGGTACTGGAGAAAATGGCAGTCTTGAGTTTCCAGTGACTCCTGCAACACTTGTTTGTCAGTGATGGAATCACTGAGTCCAATTCTTTCATAAATTCATTGCAGATCTTCTGGAAATCTGACGGGTCAAAAATATACATACAGCAATTCTAATACTTAAATGTCCTTTTTCCATTTTCACCTCAGTTAGGAACTTTTGATTGCCGTCTATAGCTTCTGGTTGTGTCTTTGACCAATTGTCTTCACAGATTGGGTGCAATTAAGCTAAATCTGTTGACTGTTTAAGGCAGGATTTTAGGGGGACCAGTCTAAAACCTTAGTTCTAACCTGATTTAAACATTTCTTTTCCACTTTGACGTGGGTTTGGGATCATTGTCTTGTTGGAACATCCACTTGCATCCCAGATCCAACCTTCTGACTGATGATTTTAGGTTATTTTCCTGAAGAATGTGAAAGTATTCCTGCTTATTCTATTTACTTTGTTTGAAGCACCAGCCCCAGGGCATGGTGCTGCCACCGCCATGCTTGATGGTAGGTTTGGTGTTCTTGGTGTTAAAGGCCTCATCTTCACTCCATCAAATAGCTCCGTTTTTGTTTCATCTGACCACAGAACTTTCCTCCAGAAGGTCCTTTTCTTTGTCCATGTGACCAGGAGCAAACTTCAGTGGAGCTGGGCGGCTGTGGTTCAGGTGGTAGAGCGGGTTGTCCTCCAATCGCAAGGTTGGCGGTTTGATCCCCGCCCCTTCACAGTCAAAGTGTCCTTGGGCAAGACACTGAATCCAAAGTTGCTCCCAATGGCAGGTAGCACCTTGCATGGCAGCTCTGTCGCCATTGGTATATGAATGTTTGTGTGAATGAGGAACATTGTAAAGCGCTTTGGATAAAAGCGCTATATAAGTGACCATTTACCATTTAGCTGGAAGGTGCTGTTTCTGGAGGAACAGCTTCCTTCTTCTTGGCAGCCTCTCAGTTAGCAGCTGTGTTCTTGCAGCGCCTAATTCCTTGCAGACCTGCTTTTTGGTGATTCTCGGTTGACTCTTGACCATCCTGACCAGTCGCAGGGGATTCATACTTACATTTATGAATCTGTAGATGCTTTGACATGGTTCCATGAGACTTTCTAACTTGTTCAAGTCAGTGATTTGCTTTGACAGATCTGTGCTGACCTCCTTAGGTGTTCCCATTTGTTGTGTTTGTGGCTGAGTCTAATGAGTGGATCAAATAGGCCCCATGTAAATTGTCATAGAGGAGTCAGCAGCTGTAGTTGATGGTAGTGACTCACAGGAAGTTAAGAAGCCACTAAGAAAATTAGACTAACACAGCTTTCTCTATATCACCAAATCTGATATTTCAAGTTGCTGTATGTACTTTTTTGACCACGCTCAATAATTCCATCTTAGATAATTTGGACTTATAGGAGTTATTGGAAACTCAGGAGTGCCATGACATAAAGTATGTAAACTTTTGTCCATGACTCTAAGTAAGCGTAGAGACCGATAGATGTGGAGTCTGCAAGAGTGAAAATGGAAGTAGGAGAAAAGAGTGGAAGTAGAAAGAGACAGAACAGAAACGACATGTTTTTGATTTTCTGTCGCCCTCCTTCCCCCTTCCACCCCTCCATCAGGCCCAGCTGCTGTCAAAGGACTTTGGGAAGCATCTTTTGGAGGTGGACGACCTGCTGCAGAAACACAGCCTGCAGGAGGCCGACATCGGCGTGCAGGCCGAGAGAGTCGAGACGCTCAACACCGCTGCGCTCAAGTTCACCACGATAGAGGGTACGTGTTTGTGTATTAATGTAGCACGGGGAAAGCGTTTTGTTTTATCTGCGGCGAGCTTGATGTGATATCAGGAGTCTTAACCACGTTTCAAGGCTTTCAGGGTGTATTAGATGTAATGGAAGCATTCTGTTGTCTGGTCTTCAGAGGAACATTGGTACGTATCAGCCAAATGTTTGATGTTAGGCTCAGAGTCGTGCTTTATTTATCGGGTCTTTTTTTTTAATCAACAACCTGTATTTTTTTTTTGTCTCCCAGGTTACCAACCATGTGACCCACAGGTGATCTGTAACCGTGTCAACCACGTGTCGTCCTGTCTGGAGGAGCTGAAACAGCTAGCGGCTAAGAGACGCGCTGAGCTGGAGGAGTCAAGACAGCTGTGGGCGTTTTTCCAGGTAGGATGGACCGAGAAGTCGATTATGTAGCTTTAACTTGTCCCGACGAGTTACGGGGTCGGTGTTCTTCATCTGGGGTGCTTGTTGGATGCTTCAAATGTCCGATGGGGTGCTTAAGTTATAGGAAAACTTAAGTAAAACTGCTTCCCAAAAGACACTTTTGCCTTTTTTTGCAAAGTTGGACAGCACAATGCAGAAACTAGTTGTGCTCCAGTGTAACCCACCTCTTAGATATTTACCTGTTTCAGTTTAATTTATCGTTTAAATTTCCCCGTTGCAACTTTGAACATGTCTCTCTTAAAAAGTCAGACCAGACAAGTGGTTGTTAAATGTCTCTAAATTTAAACATTAAGCCACTTATTGAGCTCCAGTGTGTATGGCTTTGTCAGGTTTTAGCAAAGTTTAACACATCGCCATGAGGTGATGAGTAAGGAAGCTGATTAGAGTCAGAGAGATTCTGCCAAAGTGTCTAATGGAGAAATAACAAATCACACATTATAATAAACTTGGGCTGGTTGCTGCACACCTGAGAGTTTTTTTTGTGTGTGTTTTACAGCATATGTGTACTGCAATAATTATTAATAACCCAATGATTTCTCTGGTAAATAGTGTAGAATAGAACAGTAGAACATGTAAAGATTGTGATCTGATTAGCAGCTCTTGTTTTTATGGACGTACCCATAAGTCTTTTGAAGAACAATGAGGATTCCAACATTTTAATCATAAAAAACACATTTTTCTTTGGTGCAGTCCACATCTCTCCATGATATGTCTCATATCTCTTGGATTTCTGTTGAAATTGTTTAGCAAAACTTATGAATGTCGCTCATTTATCTTCAGATTTTTGGGAGATTCTCAGGAACAGACTGGGATCAGTGTTAGACTTTAGGGATTACAGGGGAGGACCGCTCTGTTCAGAACTTTTTTACCTATTTTACCTCTTTTTTTCTACTATTTGCTACTATTCCCTTTTAGAATTTGTTTCACCAAACCTGTGCATCTTCTTCTTTTTAAAAAAAAATCTTTTATAACTTGAAATCTCGTTCTCCCGCTTGTCGCCCCGTCAGGAGCTGGAGGAGTCGGGGGCCTGGATCCGAGAGAAGAGCGCCATCCTGGGAGCTCAGGGTTACGGGAAGGACCTGAGCAGTGTGCTGAGGCTACTGCAGAAACACAAGACTCTGGCTGGAGAACTGCTGGCTCACCGGTCGCTGCTGCAGGTGTGTTTGTGTTTTATCTGCACCTGGAACATTTACAGAACCGGGAGTCTCTGTTCTGAACTTCATGTACCTCAGCGGATTCACGCATTAGCTTTTATGGATGATTTTCGAGCTTGCTTACATGAAAAAATACTTTTCTTTTCTCAATAAAATAGTTTTTGACTCGTGCAAATGCAGCTTTTTGTCGGAAATATATGTCTACCTGTTTACTGTGAGGTTTTGAGTAGAATCGGACTGAGTTAACAGTCAGAATTCAAATGTTTTTTATATTTTAATTGATATTTTTAAACTCTTTGCTTTCATATTTTATTTATTTGAATCACCGCATGTATGTAATAATATCATGAAGAATGCCAGTTGATCATCACTGAAGACGCAGGAAGAAGCTATCAGCCAGTCAGGAACATGTGCAGTTCATTAGTTCTGCATTTAAGCATTTAAATAGAAACATTTCGAATCATGTGTCCTTGAAAATACACATATTTTTTTGCATTGTGTAACTTATTCTGCAGCATGAACACACCTTCTTGACAATTTAAAACATATAAAACGTCCCTTTTTAACAAATCTCCTGACGAGTGTTGGAATAACTCTAGTGTGGTGTTTACAACTGCACAAAAAATTCAAATATTCAGATTTCAAATATCAGGTTGTTTGTCTGTGTGTGTGTTGAAGAACCCTGAACCATCCTCAGAAGCATATTACACTGTATTTTGATGCATTTGTGTTCATTTTACAATTGGTGTTGGAGACGATGTCGACTAGAAGAACTAAGAATCTTCACAGGAGCAAATTAATTGAAAGGATAAAGTCAGATTTAATAAGTAACGTGTCTGTTTTATGTTTTAAAATGTACCACACTTTAAAACGGTTAACATTAAAGTTTCGTCCACCCTCTTCCTCCAGAACACCATGAAGCGAGGGAAGCAGATCCTGAGCGAGAAGAGCTTCGGCACCGCCGGGATCCAGGAGCACATCATGGACGTGAAGGCCGAGTGGAAGAGGCTGGAGGACCAGGCGGCGCAGCGTCTCGGTCACCTGCAGGAGGCGCTCAACTTCTTCCAGTTCTCCACGGAGACGGACGACCTGGTGGCCTGGCTGCAGGACGCCTACCGCCTGGTGTCCAGCGAGGACTTCGGCCACGACGAGTACTCCACCCAGTCCCTGCTGAAGAAGCACCGCGGGGTCAGCGAGGCCGTCGACAAGCACCGGCTGCACGTGGTGGCGCTGCGCAAACACATGGTGGCGCTGCCTCTGCGGTACCGCGATCAGGAGGTGGGTAGAAGTTTAGCAGCCTAAGAGTGGAAGGATGTTCAGCTTGAACTGTGATAAAGTATTCACCCCTGCAGATGTCGTCTGTTTTTGCATATTTCTCAAACTGATATTTATTTAACGTTAGACAGAGATTACACACATTACATGCAGTTTTTAAATGATGAATAATAGAAAACCTGTATCACCTCTGTGAAAAAGTAATTCCCACCCGAATGCTAGTAACTGGTTGAGCTTAAGCAGCAACAACTACAGTTAAATGTAGGGATGTCCGATATTGGCTTTTTTGCTGATATTGTCCAACTCTCAATGTCGGATTACGACATCAACCGATACCGATATATGTTTCTTACTGCAGCCACACTTGTTTGCGCGCTCCACGACGCAGTTTGATGTCGTCATCATTTGCGCGCCGATAAATGACAGCGAAGTCCAGGCGTTATTTTATCGGTTTTCATTGTAGGCAAAAAAAAACAACAACCCCGATAACGATATTGACAGATATTACATTTTTATACCAATATCAGGCCGATAACATCAGTGGGCCGATAGCAGTTTATGTTTACGATAGCTTGTTATCAGTCTTTTAGATCTTTGGTCCACTCGTCTCTGCAGAATTGTTTGAATTAAGCCACGTAAGATGGTTTTGGAGCATGAGCTGCCCGTTTTAAGGTCTTGGATTGAAGTCTGGACTTTAAGTCGACCACTCCAACACCCTAACTTTGAGGTGCTTGAGCTTTAGGTCATGACCTGCTGGGGGGATATTCTCCAGGAGGATTTTCTGATCGAGAGCAGAATTCACGGCTCCAGGTCCTCAGACCATCCCACCACCACCTCCATGTTTCGCTGCTGGCATCATGATCTTCATGATTAGCTTTACGCCCGATGTAACAGGACCAGAGAGTTCCTCCTTTGACTCATCAGTCCACTGGGGGCTCATCCAGATATTTTGTCAGATGAACCTTTTATGTTCCTTTTGGTCACGAGTGATTTGCAACTCTCCCATTGATGCCATCTTTGAGCAGTGACGCCTTCAGTTCTTCTGGGACCTCCTGGATGAGATGTCGAGGCGCTCTTGGAGAAACTTTGGTCGGCCGGCCTCCTGGGAAGCTTCACCGCTGTTCCATGTTTTCTCTATTTGTAGATAATGGCTCTTATTTTGGAGTCCCAGAGCCTCAGCATCGGCTTTCTAACCCTTTCTGATAAATGTCGACGACTTTGCATCTGTTCTTGAATCTCTGTAGAACGTGGCATCATGTGACCTTTTAGCTGACTTCACAACACCAGAAAGGTTGATGTTTGGATTCAACAAGCCCGGCAGTGCTCATCATGGTTGTGGCTGGTGAAGTTAGGCCCAAATGAATTTGGTCATGTGGTAGATTGGTACATAGAGCAAGATGGGGCTGGACAAGAAAATAATAAAATCTTCATTAGTGTTTTCTTGGGTTATCTTTGTCTCATTAAAATTAGTTTGATGATCTGAAGCATTTGCAACGCGTGCAAAAGTAGAAGATACCTGCAGGGGGTCGATACTGTGTTCTGTTTGTCTTTCTGACTTTGTGCGTCTCCTCTGTTCGCTCTGCAGGAGGTGCAGGTGAGGATGGGGGAGGTGGAGCAGCTGTACACGGAGGTGGCCGAGGTGGCCGTCCTCAGGCAGCAGTGGCTTCACGACGCCCTCGCCGTCTACCGCATGTTCAGCGAGGTCAACGCCTGCGAGCTGTGGATCGACGAGAAGGAGCAGTGGCTGGACAAGATGGAGGTTCCCGAGAAGCTGGAGGACGTGGAGGTGGTGGCGCACAGGTGAGGAGGAGGAGGCAGAGGAGAGCAGGGGAGGAGATCCGACTACAACGTCTGCAACCCTTTTAACGGGCCGCGTGTCCTCGGTGTTGTAGGTTCGAGAGCCTGGACCAGGAGATGAACAGCCTGATGGGGAGGATCCTGGACGTTAATCAGATTGTCCAGCAGCTCCTGGATGGAGGTCATCCATCTTCTACCGAGGTCAGGGGCTGTCAGGACCACCTCAACTCCAGGTACTGAAACAATACTGACGCCCTTACTTTAGTAGACACACAGACGCTGAACCACAAGTGTCCTGCTTCTAGATGCAGCTCAACGACGTACCAGAATAACACGAAAGCACTTGTTCTGCACTTTGACTAAAGCTTGAATTATCCTTCTGCCTTGAATCTGAGCTTTAGCTCGTCGTGCATCTCCCCACACACAGCTTGGTAGTAGAATGCAGTGCTGATGCTGCACATTGATTTGAGACGATGCTCCTGTGAAGCAAATATGTCATAGGCTGTAACTGGATCCGGCGTGCTCACGATGTGGTCGTGTGCCATTTCCTCATTTGGTTCTAATGGGTTCTCTCTTTTCTGCGTTGCTGTGATGATGTTGTTCTGCGTTTAGTCCAACAGGATCTGCACTATTGTTGGAAGTGCGCTAAGAAGAAACCGATAAATAGATTTTTTGGTGGTGCGGCTGCAGAGTATCATAAATCAAACTTCTTGCAACATCTTAAAACACACTCGAGAGTTGGATTAAATGAGATTAAGTAGAATAAAAAAAGCAGCTCCAGTGCAGCAATAAATTGTCTTAAAATGAACGAATATCTCAGTTTTAACGAACTACCGCTGTTAATACTGAAGCACCGCATGATGGTGCCCAACTTGAAATATCAGCCTTATGCAGATATACAACATAATATTATTTAAATCCTCATGTGCTTTGTCTTTGTCTCTACGATTTGGCTGATCTTAAAGTCTAAAGTCTAAATATTCTTCACACACATTTCCAGAAATTAACTTTGTGCGCATGTTTGTGAGGAGCAGCTTGTGAACTGACAGTAACCCACAGAAATAGAAGAGAAAACCCACAGGAGTTAAATTCTGCAGCATTGTCTGATCATTTGGAGGAATTTATACGCAATATTTTCCCAAATTTTCTTTGTTTGCAACCTGAAATGGGGCCTCGTGTCCCGTCAGTCGCTGCCTCGGTAAGACATCAGGTGTAAATGTAAAACGGCAGCATGCATCTCTAAGTGTGTCTGCGTATTGGCACTAACGTCTGACCGCGTCGCCGCTCCCTGATTGGTTCTCGGCTATGTTCATTGACCGCTCTGACGTCTGGCAGCAGAGTCCACGGTGGCCGAGTGGTCCGGGAGTCTTGTGACCTTGGCGCACGGCGTCGGTCTCGGGGCGACCATCTGTGCCGCTTCCTCCGTCAAGACGAGGCAGCCGAGACCCGAAACTACAAACAAACACGCGAAAATAAAAACACTCGCCTTCTCTGGTGTTAGTCATTAAAAATTTAATTCAAACCTTCGCTGGCGTTTGATGTGAATACGACACACTCTACCGGGGTTATTAGATGCAGCAGCTTTCATGCAACAGAAATGGAGGATGTTCCCAGTTAGCTCCTCTTCACTCGTTGCTATGTAACCTCCAGACTTTATCCGCTAATGATCTTTACATCTGCTGCTCCTATTTCTCAATTTAAAATCATGAAAGTCTCAAACAAGAGTCAACAAAATAAACGACAGCGACATTTAACAAAATGACAGAAGTCACTGAGCTTAGCCGTAAACAGCAACAGTTGCTCTAATTTTAAGACATGTGCTTGTAACTACAACATTATTACTTTATGATCTCGTTATAAATAAGATTTTTGATTGATTCTGTGTATCTGGCTATAAGTTTTGCAGCTCAGTGTCTCCGAGCTGTTTTCCTGCCGCCTGCTGAGTTCTCTGTCTGCCTCCTAGTGGCTCTGCTGCCATTACCTCATTACAGGATCTGTGTGTGTGTGTGTGTGTGTGTGTGTGTGTGTGTGTGTGTTTTCTTGGCTGCTTGGTTGCGCATCGAGGTCTGGAGCAGATTGAGGAGAACATATTGTATGACGATATGGCGAGCAGACGAGGGTCTGGGCTGAAACGGCGATCGGAGCAGCTCCTGTCAGGTCACGTCAGGTCATCGGAACCACGAGTTCAGCCTGTTTTTAAAAAAAATAAATACATAAATAAAAATGACGCAGTTTCTCCTCTCAGGTTTAATGTGGAGGAAATCTGAAATGAAAAAGCGTCGCACCATCAGTGTGGTGTTACCGAGCGCTCCGTGTGACCGTTTTACTTCACATTAGAGGAAACATGAGCGGTGGTTGAGTCCATCAGCTGGGTTGTTTCACACTCGATGCATGTTGAAGAGAGCCGCTGGAATCAAAGCCTGGCGGTCCTACAGTTTGTGCTTCGTCAAACCTTGTAGTGATGCACGATATTAAAATTTCTGGCCGATACCGACATCAAGATTTCTGATATCGCCGATAACCGACATTACTGATATTCAATTTTTGTTCACATCGAAGAATGAGTGTAAGTGTGAGAACGTGAAAACTACTCAAAAGAAGCCCAAATTAGACCACATAGTCTTTTTTATTACAAAAATAAAACATATTTAAAGATATTTTAACATATTTAAGTCCAGGACCATTTAAGTAAAACATCTGTGAAACAGCAGCGATATCAAACGTAGAGACGAAGGCGCTGATGTCAGACAATCATCGGCTAAATTAGTTCATCAGACCGATACCGATATCTGGGAAAAAGCACTAATATCGGCCGATACCGATGTGGTCGCCGATATATCGTGCATCCCTAAAACCTTGTTGTCATATGAGCAGAGAAAAATGAATTAATCAAAAGTTTTTCCTTTCAAAAACCCGCTTTTCAAATGCAAGAAGAGGCATCACAAGCCGTTAACGACGTGGCCATGCATGGCTTTAATACCATTATTTGTTTTTAGAAGCAGTTTCCAGGTCCAACATGTGCAGCAGATATTACAATTTGCCGTCGAGCACTTTTAGCGGAGTCGCAGGTGAGCTGGTGTGCTCGAGCGTTGGGTTGAGGCAGGGACTCTGCACGTTCAAGAGGAAGCAGCAGAGTTGCATCCAGGACAGCTTAAGACAGGAAGTGATTTATGGGGGTATTATGGTGGCTAAACTGTAAATGTGCATGAAGAGGTGTGTGTCTGTATCTCAGCCTGTGTGTCCGTTGGGAGATTTATAAATGTGTAGAAGAATTTCTAAATTCAATTTTTCATTTTCAAAATGTGTAAAAAATAAAAAATAAAAAAAAATCTGCTAATCTTTATTAAGGTTGGTAATAAGATTTGTGATGCGTACAAAGATATTAATACATGAAAAGTCAAAGTGTTTGGCTGCAAGTGATGGAAATACAGACAGATCACTGGTTACACGAGACTTTTTCTACACTTCTGCGGTGAGAGATTTATAATAATAATAATAATAATAATAATAATAATAGTACCCCAAACAGGGATTAGTTTCATGGGGGAAAAAAAATCTCAATATGTAGCTTCCACATCCAGAAATGAGTTTTGGAGAGTTTATTAAGTGACTGCAGAATTAAAGTCATCTTACGTGACACATTTTAACTTCCTGTCTGTCGCCCTGTTTCAGGTGGAACAGCATCGTGGAGCTGGTGGAGCAGAAGAAGGACCAGCTGGACTCGATGCTGCGCCTCCAGAACTACCTGCTGGAGTGCGCAGAGATCAAGTCCCAGATCCAGGACAAGAGGAAAGCCATCGACGCCACCCAGTACGTGGGCAGCGACCTGGGAGGAGTCCTGGCGCTGCAGAGACGCCTCTCCACCATGGAGGGAGCTCTGTCGGTCCTGGAGCCCAAACTGCTGCATCTGCAGGTGGGGAGGCGTGACGTTTAGGGGAGACGTTTAGCGTGTCAGGCTTCAACGGAACAAAAACCTTCTTACTCCGTTTTTCTGTAGGAAGAGGCGGAGCATCTGGCCACCGCTCACACGGGCCGAGCCATAGAGATCCTGGTGCCGTTCGACGGCATCAGCGTGGAGTGGGAGGAGCTGAAACGGACCCTGCAGGGATGTGAGGACTCGCTGATGGTGGCGAGCAGGCTGCAGAGCTTCATACAGGTACCGGAGGATAAAAACGGGATGCGACAGCCTGTTTGTGATTTGGCACAAAGAGTAAAATCCAAAAATAGTGATTTAAATAAAGATAAACTTTATTGATCCCACAGTGGGGAAAGTTCACCGTTACAACAGCTCCAAAAAGACAAAGAATAATTTGCAAATTGTAAGAAAAAGAAACAAAAACTGTTAAATCTCTGATCAGTATTATCGATCAGCAACTCCGTGAAGAAGCAGCATGTTCTGGTCCAATGCACTGCAGTGGACGTGTTGTTTAAGACTTAGCTTTATGACCTACTTTAATCAAATCTGAAATTACTCTTGTGCATGTTTACGAAGGTTTGGCTCAGTAGTTTGTTTCATACATCTTCGTGTCTGTGAAGTCTGTTAACAGTCAGAGAGAGTTTTTGCCAATTTTTAAAGTTATTTAGGTCATAAAAGTTCAACTTCTCAAGAGATTACTATAAGAATTCAAGAAAAAATTACAGCATCTAATCAGGCAAGGCTGGTTTTATGTTTGCTGAAACAACAAAGATTGAGAAAGTGGGTTGAAAAATGGTTGTAGGAAGTAAATACTCTGCTAGTTAGCTAACTAAGGAGACAGAAAAGCAAATAACCTGGAACACATGACCTTCTAGTTCGCTTTTCTGCACACGTTCAAGATTCAAGCTTTATTTGTCACATTTGTACACGGTACAATGTGCAGAGAAATGTGTTTTGTACCAGTTTCAATAAAAAACAAAATGTGTTCAAGAAATGTTTAGACTTTGTGTGTATATAAATATACATAAATAAAGCAAATGGGGCTGTTATATGTGACAGAACGCTTTTCATTATGTTGCTTTTCTATCAGCAAACTGTTCAATCTGCACAAACTTCTGCAGTGAAGACGTCCTGTTGTCTCCCCAGGACCTGGACTCGTTCCTCACCTGGCTGGTTCAGACTCAGACGGCCGCCGCCTCCGACCAGCTCCCCAACGACCTGGAGGAGGCCGAGAGGCTCATCAACAAACACGCCGCTCTCAAGGAGGAGATTGGACGGTAAAAGCTTTTATTCCCCCTCCTCCCAGCATGTCTTAACAGCTCATCAGGTGTGCAGAGAGTAACCGGCATGTGTCCGTGCAGGTACGAGGAGGACTACGAGCGTCTGCAGGCCATGAACGAGCTGCTGGAGTCGGAGGAGGCTCCTCTCCCTCAGGCCGCCCTGCAGCAGTGGCTGCAGAAGCTGGACGTGGGCTGGAACAAGCTGCTGGAGATGTGGGAGAGCCGGAGAGAGGTCCTGGTCCAGGCCCACATCTTTCACCTTTTCCTGCGAGACGTCAAACAGGCCGAGTCCTTCCTCAACAACCAGGTGAGACGGACGTGCGTTAATCTGTCGCTTCAGGATGAAATACGTTGAGAACTTTTTGTTGAATTGCCCTGAAACTTGCTGCAGACATTTATGACCCCGCAGGAGATGAATCCTGTTGACTGCCGGTGATCAAGCGACACGTCAGAGTTTTTATAGCGTGAAATACATCCAACGCCAGGTGACATGAAACATCTCCGTCCTTGGGGCGACTTTACCGCTTGTTGTGATAATGTAATTAGCTCCCCGTGTTGTTTATCTGCTGCGTCACGAAAATCTGCTTAAGTGACTTTTAAATCATGAGAAGAGTTGAATTTGACACATGAACACAGCTGCTGGTTCGGTGGTGCTGCCGCTGAGGGAGACGAATCCTCTTCACCGTGTTTTTCCCGTCATCTTATATTTTATTTTGATGGCGACAGACCAGAAGCAGCTCGTATGTACGGCAGCACACGGAGTGAGTAGAGAAAAAACTATGAGTGAAACAGACTCATGTCTTCTTTAAA